TATTGTAAGGATCTGGTTAACTATATTCACGTTCATGTTAACTATAGTGTTTCCAGTATTAAAGTTGGTGTTGTCAGTGTTAACTATATTTCAGTTCAGTCATGTTAACTATAGTGTTTCCAGTATTAAAGTTGGTGTTGTCAGTGTTAACTATATTTCAGTTCAGTTCTGTTAACTATATTCATGTGTTGTCAGTGTTAACTATATTTCAGTTCAGTTCTGTTAACTATATTCATGTTTAAAAGATTAGTAGTGTATACTAACATGTATTATTTATTTGCAGCTATAGTACTATGAAATGACAGGGATTAAAAGATATGCCTTGAGCAATAGATTCAAGCCACCCCTCACTAACTGGGTGAAGATTGGTGAGAAGTGTGGATCTTTTCGAAAGCGCACAATAGTTGCCAAGGCTGCAAAAGCTAGCATCCATGTTGTACATAAACCAATAGCTAAAATTGGCCCATCCGATGAGAAATATCCAATCAGAAGGCCATTGATGAGGCTTAGAAGTGAAGGGATTGTACCACAATTTCCAGTCCTACATATGGAGGGGAAAAAAGCAACAGTAAGGAAGAGGAAGATTGAAGAAGAAAAGAAGGTTGAAAAGAAGGAAGAAGAGAAGGAACATGAGAAAAGATGGTCAATAGGTTTGGTAAGTTCTAAGGTGCTAAATCACCATAGTTAATATGTTAACCACAACAGTTAACATGTTAGCCACAAGAGAGAACATGTTTTCCACAAGAGTTGACATGTTAACAACAAGAGTTAACATGTAACCTATAAGAGTTAACATGTTACCAACAACAGTTAACATGTTAGCCACAAGAGTTAACATATTAGTAACAAGAGTTGACATATTATCCACAACAGTTAACATGTTACCCACAAGAGTTAACATGTTAGCAACAACAGTTAACATGTTACCTATAGATGATTGAAGAACCTTTAATTTATATGTGTCAACTGTGGACCTCTTACTGTTAACCTTTATAAGCTTGATATTAACTGTTTCTTATTTCTAAATTATAGATAATGTCAAAAGTCATTGATGAAGCTTTCGAAAGGGAAGATGAGATTGAAACGTTCAGTTGAGGAGCAGCTGCAATTTTGGAGAAATGTTGCTAAAGTAAACTAGAGACTTTGCCGTACACTAAGGGTCTCGAAGAAATTGTAATGTCAAACTTTCATGAACGAGATTCATAGACTTAACGAAAAGTTTAAGGGGTTAGACGAATCTTGTGACATAGTAGATCCCTTAGTTTTAAAGAACAATGTGAAGAAGCTTATTGCACAACAGCTGAAAGGAAACCCTATAGTGGAAGAAGAGGACAAGCATGAAATCGATGGAGAGGACAACCATGGAGAGAAACAACGTCACCATGAATGAAGGTGTCGAGGAAATGAGCAAGAACAAAGAGAGAGACGAAGTGATCAAGGATGAGGAGGACAAGCAGATGGTTGAGAATGAAGAGGACTCGAATGGAGAGAGAGATGATGTTACCAAGAATGAAGTTGTCGAGGAAATGGGCAAGAGCGAAGAGAGAGAGACAAAGTGATCAAGGATGAGGAGGGCAAGTAGATAGTGCAGGAGGAGGAAGGTGTGGTTGAGAATGTTCAACTCATCAAAGGATTGAAGAGGCCGAGGAAGCCGGTGAGCAAAAAAAATGTGGGTTATAGGCGTAGAGCTCCAAGCAAAAGAGCAACCAAGAAAGATAAACTGGTTAGGACACCATTTACTGAGGATAAGAAACTGAGGGCTAAGGGATTGAAGTTGAAAGAAGGTGTGCACAAAGATGAACCCATTGTGGTTGGTGACAAGGTAGAGAAAATAACAGTTTACTATGATGACAGTGTTGGCAAGTGGGATGTGCTAAAAAGCACGTATTTAAGTAGAGAAAATAACAGTTTACTATGATGACAGTGTTGGCAAGTGGGATGTGCTAAAAAGCACGTATTTAACAGATGTGGATCGTGCTGCCTTAAAAGAGGTGAATGAGGGTATCCCTGATGTAGGCACGTTTAGCTTATGAGTGTTAGATAGCGATGGTGCTTTTGTACATAACTACAGAATACCAAGAAATGTGATAGAGAAACTCTCAGCCGAGGAGAACAAATGGCTCGCGCAGTACTGCAAGGAGATGTAGCCCGTAAGTGCTGATTTCAAAATTTAACCCTTTCACGTTTAAATTTAACCCACAAGGGTTAACATGTTAACCACAAGAGTTAACATGTTAGCCACAAGAGTTAACATGTTATGCACAAGAGTTAACATGTTATCCACAAGAGTTAACATATTAGCCACAATAGTTAACATGTTATCCACAAGACATAACAGATTAGACACAAGAGTTAACATGTTATCCACAAGAGTTAACATGTTTAGTAATTTAATGCTAACTCTCTTTAATATTAACTGTGAACCTCTGTTAGTTGCTTGTTATGTTTGCGCGTTTAGATGTTAGCTTTCATGTTTTAGATTTTAACCCTCCGTAACTTATTGCTTTTTAAGGTACGTCGATGTCATAACTATTGATAACAGCACAATTACATACTCAGAACTACTGTATATGCTCCACGGGGGAAGACTCGATGAAAAAATAACAGAGGCCATCTTAGATAGATTACGGCTATGGCTATAGTTGCAGTAGAACGCTGTCTTAAACAAGCAGTATGGGATTGTATCTATATATTTCTGCGTAAGACCAATCCTCATATAATTAGTTAACACCTAAGCTCTTATATTTAACATGTTAACTACAATAGTTAACATGTTAAAAACAACAATGGGCCACAAGAGTTAACATGCTATCCACAAGACTTAACATGTTATCCACAAGAGTTAACATATAGCCACAAGAGTTAATATGTTATCCACAAGGGTTAACATGTTAGCCACAAGAGTTAACATGTTATCCACAAGAGTTAACATATTTTCCACAAGAGTTAACATGTTTTCTACAAGAGTTAACATGCTAAATATTGTGGTTAAAATGTTAACTATATGAACTTGAACCATGTTCACATGTTAAAGACCGCTCTTTGTTAATGTGTTAATTTTGTGTAACAACATTCACTCTATGGAGACCAGGCTCATCTGCGGCTATATGAACTATATGAACTTTATATACAACAACATATTATTGCTGGCCGATCAATACTCATATTCCCAATTGTTCGCCATGACCATTGGCATTGTGTCGAAGTTAGATTGAATGAAAATTTTGTGTTGCACTATAGTTCGGTAACTCACTCTGCTTACCTTGAGCCCGTTAACAAAATAATAAACTTCATGGATCATATGAAGGCCGCATTCGATCCTGAAAAGGTGTGTAGGACATTTCAATATAAGGAAATCCCATACAAGCCTCAAAAGGGAAGGTACATTAACATATGAATCTTATTTTATTAAAGAATTTCCGTCTCCAAAACTGACCTGTAATATGTATTTATGTTTTATTGTTTGTAGCTACGACTGTGGGATATACGTTTACCCTTATGTACGGGCTATTCTACAAAAAAGTGATGTACTGCATGTTACACCCGCCGATGATTCGTCGAAGGTAGTGTGTGCAAGGCTTGCGGCGGAACTGATAACTGCATGTTACACCCGCCGATGATTCGTCGAAGGTAGTGTGTGCAAGGCTTGCGGCGGAACTGATAAAAGAAGGTTGAGAATTCAAAAATAGAAAGGGCACAATAGCCGTGGAGGACCCAGAATTAAAAGTGTCTGCATGAACCGTAAATGTACAGCCTAAGGAAGAATGCTATGTAGATAAACAACTGCGAACAATCTTCACAATTTTCAGCTTGTATAGATTATTTTCCCAGTAGTTAATATCTCGAGGGTTTAATGTGTTAACAGCTAATGAACTAGTGTCCGAAGAATGTTAACATGTTAGACGCGTAAGTTAACAATTATATCATGTCAGCTTCAATTGTTAAATATGGAGAAAGTTTATATCATATCAGGTTCACTTGTTAAATATTACTGTATACGGAGAAAGTTAACATGTTAGAAGCGTAAGTTAACACATTTCGATGAAATATACGTGTAACTATGTAGATTAACAAGTTAACAAGTAAGTTAACATGTTAGCCGCGTAACTTAACAATGTACGAGAGAAAGTTAATGTGTTATCTACGTAGCTTAACAAGTTAACAGAGAATTATAGTTAACAGTTCGATTGTTATCCACAAGAGTCAACATGTTTGTAGCAAGAGTTAACATGTTATTAACAAGAGCTAACATATTATCAACAAGGGTTAACATATTATCACCAAGAGTTAACATGTTATCGATAATAGTTAACATGTTTGCAACAAGAGTTAACATGTTAGCCACAAGAGTTAACATGTTATCCACAAGAGTTAACATGTTTGGCACAAGAGTTAACATGTTATGGACAAGAGTTAACATGTTACCTAACATGTTATCCAAAAGAGTTAACATGTAATATGTGTAAATTAATAACCTACCAAAAAAATTTTATATGTTAACTGTAACTTAACAATCTAACTGAGTAACTTTACAAACCAAGTAAGATAACATTTTCATTATAGTTCACATTGCCCCAAAGGTATTGCCCCAAAGGTATTTCAGTTCATATACACAACTACTACATGCCTACAAAAGTATTACAAACACCCAAATATGTTTCAGTTCATATAAACAGTTAACTACAAAAGTATTACAAACACCCAAATATGTTTCAGTTCATATAAACAGTTAACTACAAAAGTATTACATACACCCAAAAGTATTTCGGCAAATCCGCAACTCATATCAAAAAAGTATTACAAACACCCAAATATGTTTCAGTTCATATAAACAGTTAACTACAAAAGTATTACATACACCCAAAAGTATTTCGGCAAATCCGCAACTCATATCAACGGCGATCGGTTAATTGCAAGTTGCGCGGTTGTGGCCTTCAGAGTGACATCGAGAGCATTTCAAAGGCCGTTTGTACACTGTTCGATTGTTGATATGTCGTGTTTTATTTCTCCCTTTTTTTGGTAGTATATGGTGGAAGTAGCTCGATCTCATCCCTTGGCACACTTCGTTTCTCATAATCTGTTATAGGATAGAGAATCGGGTCATAGCTCTTTTTAAATTCTTCTGTGGACATAAACCAATCACAATATTGGTAAATGTCTCTCTTCATGTACGAGATGACTGCATATGCATGTTTACACGGAATCCGCATGACGTCCCAAGCACGGCAAGTGCATGTCTTCTTCTCCAAATCAACGCGGGTAGTTTTATGTGCTTGCATTTCAAATATGTCAGCTGCAGCTTTCTTAACATCCAATGGATGACCTTTCTCTATATTTTCTTTAAGCACCATCTCTGCTTGTGGACAGAGATATCCAACCCATTTATCTCCAAGTAACCGACGATTACTCATTCGTACTATTATCTGTTTACGAATATGCTCAACCATTTGTAGAATTCATAGCATTCTAGCCTCCCTTATCCAATTATTAAAAGACTCAGTGACATTAGATGTTATGTACCCATACCTGAAATTATATATAACTTTATAACAGGTCACAAATAAGGGTTAACAAATAATTGAATAGAGTTAATAGGTAATGAATTACAGTTAACAGTTTACAGATAAGAGTTAACATGTCACAAATAAGGGTTAACAAATAATTGAATAGAGTTAACAGGTAATGAATTACAGTTAACAGTTTACAGATAAGAGTTAACAGGTCATAAATAAGAGTTAACACAAATAATTGAATAGAGTTAACTTTTTTGAATTACAGTTAACAGTTTACATATAACAGTTAACATTTAACAGTTAACATGTTAGCCACGAGAGTTAATACGTTATCCACAAGAGTTAACATGTTATCCACAAGAGTTAACATGTTATCCACAAGAGTTAACATGTTTGCCACAAGAGTTAACATATTAGCCACAAGAGTTAATATGTTAGCCACAAGAGTTAACATGTTTTCCACAAGAGTTAACATGTTATCAACAAGGGTTAACATATTAGCCACAAGAGTTAACAAATAATTGAATAGAGTTAACAGTTAATGATGTATAGTTAACAGTTTACAGACAAGAGTTAACAGGTCAGAAATAAGAGTTAACAAATAAATGAACATAGTGAACAACCTCGTAAATTTTATTATCAATTAAGAAATAACTGAATATAGTTAACAGCTCTGATATAGAATTTAACAAATCCAAAGATAACATGCTACATAGCATAAGTTTATACATCAGCATAGATATAGAACAGCCAAATAACGTTACCTTATTCCCAAAAAGAATGCATTTGCCCATTGATCAGGAGAGTAGTTCATAGCAATGTTGTATGCCCTTGGATCCATGTCATATATCTCTTTCATGTACTCATTCCATTCTGCTATTGTGTACTTATAACAAGCAGTTTGGAGTAAGTTCCCCAGAACATGAGTGTCCTTCGACTTCAAATTGCTTGTTATAAGCTTTAACCTGAAATTTTCAACAAGATGTAGAACACACCTCGAGTGTAGAGCTTCTAGAAAATACTCTTTTACTGATTCTTTAATTCCTTTGTCTGCATCAGAAATTATAACCAATTGGTGGGGAGGATTGTAAGGGTCAGCCCTCTCATAAAGTATGGACCATAGACCTTGGAGGAACTACTTCCAATTCATCAAATTCTCTTGATCACATATGCAATACGCTAAGGGAAATATACCTTGGTTCCCATCGTATGCTATGGCCGAGAGGAGAATACCTTTATATCGATCCTTCAAAAATGTACCGTCCAAAAATAGAAGGGGTCTGCATCCACTCAAGAAACCTTTGATGCATGCAGTATAACAAACAAAAAGTCTCGAAAACCTCCCCTCATTCTGGTCAACATGTATATAACTGCCGGGATTTGTCTCTTTTACCATGCGCTCATACCTAGTCGTGTAAGAAGAAACAAACCAACAAGTTAACATGTTATCCGTGTAGCTTAACAAGCGACCAAAAAAAGCTAACACATTATTGGGGTAACTTAACAAAAGTTAACGTGTTATTTACAAGAGTTAACATGTTATTAACAAGAGTTAACATGTTATTTACAAGAGTTAACATGTTAGTCGTGAAACTTAACATGTTATCAATGTTATCAATGAACTTAACAAGGAACATGTTAACTATTTGTTTTAACAAGCAAACTTTGGAACTTAACAAGTTAATAATAAAGCTCAGCATTTACCATCGTAGTTGATCATACGACTCATATATATCCCCGTAAAGCTTCTCCTGTGCTCTCTCTTTCCCCCACCATATCTTACTGTAATCAATTCTAAGGCTGTACTTTGTGAGGAACTCCTTTTGCACATCAACGGGTCGTATTTCTGGACGGACATTCAGGAGTGGTTGTAACTGTGTTGTAATGAATTTACGGGATGCCCTTGAACAACCTATATTTTGCCCGTACTGCCCACAAGTATGTTCATTAACAAACTTCTTGATTGAAAGTCTCTTTTCATTCTTAACAAGTGAATCAAACAACATCCATGGGCAGTCGTAAGTTTCTTTATATCGGCAATATACACGGATACGTTTTGGTTCGTTCTTTTTAAACTCATAATCAAACATTTTGGTCAGAGCATAGTATGTCAGTGCCAACCTTAATTCTTTAGCACTTTCAAATACTTGACCCTCTTCAGTTAATGCATTATGCCACCAACCATGAATCATTACTGTGTTGTTAATAATGTCATCAGAACACACTACACTGCTACCGCTGGGATTATCAATTGGAATTCTTTCTGAACCATGTTTACGGCAGAAGTACTATCAATAAACTTTGACTTCAGTGTATTCATAATAGTGCACAAATATAATTATTTTTTCTTAAAATAACGAACAGGACTTGTACTTAAATTCTACAGTACCCTTAAAAGTTAACACATATGCCCTAAAGCTTAACAACTTTCGGTAGAAAGTTAACATATATCAGTTAAAAGCTAACATTTAACCTGAAACAATTCGCTATGTTATCATTTCTCCACATTTTACTCACGTAATTCACAAGTTTTCAAACAAATTAAGTGTAAATATAACTTACATTTCAGGAGGTTGCTTCGGGGTGTTCTGACATCTGGAAACATCTACATCTATAGTAGCTCGAATATGGATCTCCAGACACCCGATATTACGGTTGTGCTCCACCATACACTCCATATCATCCTCATTCTCAATCTCAAAACTCAGATCATGGATCCTTTCAGATTTATAAACTATTGATAGCGCATCATAAAGAACCATCAACCTCTCAGCCACGTCAAACTTAAACTCAAAAAAAGAGGTTGCACACGTTACCCTTGAGAACACTGCTCTCTCACCCAAGGAAACCATGCAAATAATGGGGCTCTCCGCCATAAATAAAGAGGATTTAAGAGGAGTTATGGAGGGCACTTTAGGACAAGTAGGGGGTTGAAGATCATAAGCCCTAACCGCAAAAATCTACCCTTTGCACCATAAATACGCTCTATTCAAAGCCGAGTCGGTTAACAGGATATATAATAGAGGGAGAGCGCCAAAATTTCCCCCCAAAACGTCCATCACCTCGCCTTAAATGTGACGGGGAGGGATTGCCAACGATCGGATCTCGTTTCCAAGGCACGGAGTTGAAGGCGGGGGTATTTTAGGGAGGCTAGATGCAAATACGGCTGAGAGAAGCGCTTTTAGGGCTTAGTTACATTTTTTTGAATTTTTAAGGGTTTAGCCATATGGGCCAAAGTACATGGGTCTGGGCCACATTGTTTTTTCAATTTTGGGGCCTTGAAGTAATTTTTCCTTAGATTAATGGGTTTGAGGTTTGGGTTAATAAAGGTGGAGAGGGGACCATTGGAAAAGAAAATATGTGAATAGAGTTTGTATTTTGAATAAAGGGGTATGAGTTTGCCTCTTAACGGGTTTTCTTAAGTGGGTATGTTGATTTTCATATTAGGAGTGAGGGTATAACCGTCCTTTCTATAAAAAAGAGTTAAATTTAACGAAATATTGTATTGCATTAATAACCCCAACTGACTACAAAGATTAATATCAGTATATTTTATGCAATTTTGGGGACCAATATCAAAATATGATGATTTCAGTGACTATATCAAAATATTAATGATTTAAGGACTAACATAGCAAAACCGCTGTTATGTTTTTGGTTGGGATTTTTAGGATAGTTTGACGTTAAGGAGTTGTTTGGTTCGTTTCCTAGATATAGGAAAATGTAATTCCATGTAAAGAAACACAAGTTTTTAGTTTTTCAAACTTTCCAAGAAATAAATTGTTTTGGTTTGGTTCGCACTAAAAATTGGTGGAAAACCAATGTATTTATTTTTCTTGTGTTTGGTTTGCATAAGAAAAAAAGGAGAAACTTTTGTTGATTTGACATTTCCCACTTTTCTTGTGTTTGGTTGGTTTTGAAGTGTGTAGGGCAAAGTGTATATGCACCATATATTAGTATATATTACTGCATATCTTCTACTAGGTCAATTTAAACTAATGATGCCAAATTCTATTACTTCAATAGCCTCACGTTCATCATGATAATTATATAACATGTGGAGAGATACGATCAGTGAAGCATCATGTTATGCAAACAAGAACAGGCTTGGTGAGGGACTGAACATGTGGAGAGATACGATCAGTGAAGCATCATGTTATGCAAACAAGAACAGGCTTGGTGAGGGACTGAAAAAGCAGATAAGGGCACATATGCAGCTGAAATTCAGGACAATGTAGTTGCAGCAAGAAGAAGTAATTGAGCTGAAATTCAGATAATTATAGAAAATGAAAATTTTTATCTTAATAATTCTAAAACATACGAAATTTTCAACACATCATTTCTGAATTGAGAATAAATCATACCTTGGATCGGAAGTATAGCAAGATCCAGCAAAAAATTCAGCAAATATACGAAATTTTCCCAATAAAGGCGTAGCCTTTTTAGCTAGATCTAGCAAAAAAACAAATTTGAGGAACTGAGGCTTGATAAATATGAAAATCAAGCACGAAATCAATAGTTTAGAACTTCCGCAGGCATCGGAGAGGAATCGTGGCGCGAAGAGTGAAAAAAGCGAGGGAATGCGGTGGTAACCTTAGCCCTCAACAAGTTTCCCCCTAAAAACCGCAGATCTGACAATAGTACATTTCTTCGGCGATTACACCGATTTCCTCTCGTTTTCGAAGGAAATGGGAGGAAGAAAAAAATCTGAGATGGAGGGGATTTCCGCGGCTGGAGGGAGGAGGGGAATGAGCGAATCAAAGCTGAGAAAAGAAACCCGCGGAACGGGTTTTGTTGACGTGAAGGGGCTGTCAGGAGGAGAAATAGTTTTCCGCGGCTCACAAAAGCGAACCAAACAGTCCCTAAACAGTAACAACATTAGGGAGTACACTGGAAAAGTTAAAAGTTGAGAAGTCTTTTTAGGGCCCGTTTGG